CAGTGCCGGGAGGTGCATCCTGGACCGTGGATGCACGGGGACGCCACCCCGGCCTGGGGTCTCCCGTGCCGCGCCTGGTACGGAAGGAAGCGGCGCTCGGGCAGGGAGGAGCGAGCACGGCCCTGGGAGCGCGGGGTGGCTAGTCACTCCAGTGGGGCTCCCAGGGAGGTGGTGAGAAGCACAGGAATTGCCCAGCACGGACTCAGCCCCGCGGGGCGGAGGCAGCTCTTCTGTTGGATGGACGCTCCACAAGTAAGAGGGCTGGGACAGTCCCTGCCGGCCGGCGACACTGTCGGGAGGGCCGGCCTTCAAGCGGGCGCTGAGCACCGCCCTTCCCACAGCCTGCCTTCCCACTGTTGTCAGAGGACCGAGTGCCGGAGGCCGCCCGGCTGCACACAAGGGCACGGTTCCTGTGAGTCCTGAAATGAAGGCCGTGGGGTCTACCCGTTTCTTTAGTCTCACGTTACTTTCGGGGGGCCGTCGTGGCTCCGAGGCAGCGTTCCCGCCGTCCGCACTGGCCCCGGGTTGGAGTTTCTGCCAGTGCCCGGCACGCGCAGCCAGCACCGTCCTGCGGGCTGCTTGGCTTGTTGCTATGATGCTGGGCAGTTTCGGGGGACCTTCCGGGCTGAGAGGTGCTGGAAAGAAAGGCTGATCTGTTTCGAAACCCCCGCGGGTGGCCAGGCCCCAGAGCACAGTGGTCCCGCCCACAGAAGGCCATGGGGCAGCGCCCGGAGGGGATCGTGCCCATGTCATGGGGGCTCGCGATGAGTTGGGGGCCTTGCGAGGCCAGCTCACAGCAACAACTGTAAACAACCTTTGAAGTTTTAAAAAACCTGTAACCCCCTCCCAACACACACACACACACACACACACACACACACGCTATGTACGATGGGGCTCAGTCCTACCTGCTGTGGGACTACACTGAGGACCCCTGTGTGGCAGCCCGGTGATCGACGGTGGCGAGGAGCTAGAAGCGGAACGGGAGGGCAAAGGTCAGTAGGCTCCTTGAACCCCACGCCGTGAATGGCCTAAACGTGCAGGCGGTGGACACCAGGCGGCCTCGTTCTCAGGGTCGGTATCTGCTGCAATGACGACTCCAGTCCTGATTCCATGTAACCATTAAAACCTTTTCCCCAAATGAAATGCCAGTTCGTTTTCGGGGAGGCGGAGTGTCACTAACTCCTACAGTGCAATCATCTTAGCAGCTATCAGGCCTGAGGATATTGTTATTGTTGTGCGCTCTCGAGTCAGACCTGACTCATAGCCACCCCTCCTTGGGTTTCCGAGGCGGTATCCCTACAAAGTAGATTGCACAACCGTCCTTCCCAGGAGTGGCTGGAGGGTTTGAACCGCCATCCTCCCTATTAGCAGTCAAGTGCCTTAGGCACTACGCTACCAGAGCTCCCTGTTAGAGGATAGGAAAGTGATTTGGTTTGTTTGTAAACAATACAAATGAGCCGAAATGATTGAAAGTTGATTTAAACCAGCACACTGACATACAAGACGTCGGCTGGACGTGATGTGATCCTATGATTGAAGTTAAAAGTGCTGAGTTTAAAATCTGAACATTCAAACACACGGGGAGGAGAGTGGGCGCCTGAGTGTGCTGGGTTGAAGGCAGGGCCCCCGGGAGGTCAGCTGAGCGAGGCTTGGTCCCGGGCCTCACCCGTCCACCAGGCTTCCTGCCTCCGCTTCTGAACGCTGCTGGTAGGAAGAGAAGCGACATCGGTTGCCCTGGAGGAGGTAAGAAGCAGCGGGGTTCAGGGCGCCTCTCCCAGGGGCGTCTACGGCCAGTGAGAGGGCACCGCTTCCTCCGCGGGCACCATCCCCTAAGTGGAGGCTTTCAGAGGCTGAAGCCACTGCCACGGGGACAGGAAAGTGGACCGAGGGCCGCCGCCGCAGGGCCCTCTACCTGCTCTGTGCTTCCTGCAGGCCTCTCCTTGTCCCCGGCCTGCCTCGGACCTGGGAGGGGGGAACCGCTGCACCGGCCCAAACGGCTGCACCGGGCAGAGTTCAGCCTCCTCTTCGTTTACAAGTTCATCTCATACCAAAGGTTTCTCCTGAGCCCACGTTAATGCAAGTGAACGGTCCAAGGCCCATCCTACAACAGAGGCGGACCTGCCTCGAGATGGATGGACACAGCGGCTGCAGCGATGGGCTCAAACCAACGAAGGCACCGGACGCGGAGTGTTTCCCTTTGTTTACATGGGGTCGCTAGGAAAGGGAACCGGCTCGCGGCACCTAACAGCAACAAACCAACAGAAGGTCGGAGAGCAGATTTAAGGAAAAATCAAAAACCTGACTGCTTGTATTATTCCCTGATACACACACACAAACACAAAGCACGTTAAACTTTATCAGGGGGTGTGTACATCAGTGTCCATTGCAGCAGTCCTCACAATAGCCAAAAGGTGGAAACAACCGAGCGCCTCTCCGCCGGGAACTCTGGTGGCCTAGTGCCTAAGGCATTTGACTGCTAACCAGAGGGCTGGCTTACCCACCAGCCAGTCTTCGGAAGGAAGGTTGGGCAATCTACTTCTGTAGAGATACACCACGGAAACCCAAGGAGGGGTCGCTATGAGTCACATTGGACTCAATGGCAGTGAGTTTTGGTTGCTCTTGGTTGGCCCGTCAGGAGATAAGCAGATGAATGGGTCACCCAATCCCAGTACATACAGGCCATGGGGGATGGTTAAGCCTTAAAGAGAAATGGATTCTGAGCAGGCAGCACCTGGAGAGTGGCACAGGGAGTGAGATAACTCCCACGCAGGACAAATGCCATGTGATCTCACACGAAACAAGCAAATACCTAGAAACTGAAGATTAGCAGTGGTTACTGGGCAGACGGGAGGCGTCAAGGGGAGTGTTTGTTTAAGGAGCAGGGAGTGTAAGTTCATGGCGCTGGAATAATGTGCAACACGATGATGGTGGTGGCTGCATAGAATGAAGAGTGAGCCCAGGGTCTCTGAAACCTACCTGTCAAACTGGCTGACTTGGTGTTTTGTTGTGTATGTGTCCACCACACACCCACACACACACAAGCTTGCTAGAAGTTACCAGGGCCTGGAGGGAGCAGATAATGTGGTAGATAAGGTTGTGTGTCAACTTGGCTGGGCCTGGCTGAGTGGCTGGGCAGCTGGTGGTAGTTACTCCCCATGATGAGACTGACAATCAACTCCATGGTGGGATCTACCACAAGCAGCTGAGTAGCTGCATTAGGGATGTGGTCTGCTTCTCATATATAAGAAGCATCTTTGGGAATGGTCTCTAGCTTGTGGTGTGCTTGACCCCTGCATGTAGCTGTGTTGTTGTTCAGCAGCCTGCCATGCTCTGCAGAACTTGGGACTTCCAATTGACTTGAATTAGTGGCCTGCCATGTTGTTTGATAACATTGGGACTGTGCCTTTTTACTTGTCAGCCTTGGGTTTGTCAGCCTCAGCAGCCAGCAGCTGTCTGAGTGAAGAAAAGCCTCCAGCTTCAGTGGGCCAGGAGCAGGAGGCAGAGCTGAAGCCCAAGGTTGAGGGGCTTTCCCCCAGCCCCTAGAGCCTGGCACTTTGAACTCGGACTTAAAGCCTCCAAACTGTGAGAGAATAAACTCCTGTTGGTTAAAGTCATCCCATTTGTGGTACATTCCTGTCAGAGTAGCACTGAGTAACCAAAACAGGCAACATGAGGTCATGCTTAAGGGGTGCTGAATGTCTGGGGTCATGTAAAGCATTTGGAATTGGGTGGTGGTAAGGGTGGTACAACATGGTGAAGGTCATTAATGTCACTGAAACCTACCCTGAAAAGCAATTAAAATGGCAAACTCTGTTATATATGCTTTTCCCACAATGAAAGGAAGAACAGCTTGAACAGCTTCCCAGCAGGATGTAGTATGGTCTGGGACAGGCCTGGAGCCACCAGAAGGCTAGTGATAAGCCCGAAAAGCCTGAAATACTCAAGGGGGCCCCCACCCGTCGTCTTCACCGGATGCTCGCACTGGTGACCACCAGCCCTGCCAGTCCCTGTGGTCGCCACAGAAGATGCCTCCTTCCCAGGGTTTTCCTCCGTTAGCCTCCTAAGCTTGCATCTGGCTTCAGAGCAGTGGCACTGACGAAAGGGAGCCCCTGGCTGGCCTCTCTGCTTCCTGACTGGCCTGCGGTCTGGCGCCAACCCTTCCGCGGTGGGTCTGTCTTCAGACACTAACACAGAGTCCCCATTCAAGCTACTGCTTTGGGCAACGCTGGGGGTGGGGATGCTGGGAGCCTGCCGCTTGCTTTGCACACAGACCCCTGAAGAGTCCAGAGCTGCCAGGCAGCGCCCAGTGGCGTCAGTGAGCACCCTCGTGGTGAAGTGGGGAGGAGCCCCCGTCCCTCGGCGTCAGTCGATTTCCTGGCGCAAAGGGTTTGTTAACGTGCTGAGCTGCTTGCCAGAAGGCTAGGGGTTCAAGGCGTCCCAGAGGCACCTCGGAAGACAGGCCTGGCAACCTACTTGCAAAGTCAGCTATAGGAAGCCCGGCAGAACTCAGGTCCACTTGACACACGACTCGGAGGTGACTGTTGCAGGTCAAACCCTGTTGGTCCAGCTCCTTCCTTCCCCCCCTCCTCCTGTCTCCCCTCTTCCCTCTCCCTCCCTGCTTCCCCCCTCCCCCCTTCCCCCTCCCTCCTGTCAAATGAGGTCAGTAGCCTCCCCTCCTGATGGAATGCCCACGGTGAGACACAGCCCTCACACAAGGTGGGCAAGCTGGTTGCTGAGGTCTTCCTGCTGTAACACAAGGACTCATCGGAAGTAGCAAGTGCACCTCGGCTAGTTCAGGAGGCAGCTGAGGGTAATCTCACGTGGCAATAAAGCCTTGTCCGAGTCAGGCTCTCCCACAGCTCCCTCTCTCCCAGCAACCTCGGGAGACAGGCAGGTCGGTGTCATGATCCCACTTGATAAAGGAAAGGGCTGAGGCCGCGGAGGGGAAGCACTGCGCACCGTCCTCTTCCATCACTGAGTGGGGCTTTGTGAGCCCCGGTGTGCCTGGCAGAGCTCTGGGTGCTGGGGACACCGAGAGGCGGGCAGACGAGGTTCCTGCCCCTGGGGAGCTGATACTCTAGTGGGAGGAGGAAATGAACCAACACAATCATTTCCCCTGAAGTGTCCTGGTCTGAGAGAAAGACGGGGCCCTGAGTGGGGAGTTGCGGCACTGGCCACTGGAGACGGAGGCGAGACCGGGCTGGCACCGAATACGAGGAGGTGGGAGTGAGTGTGGCATGGTGGCTTCACAGTGGGGCCAGGGCTGTGGCGCCTGTGAGTGAGAGGGAGGGAATCACGGGTGGGGTGGGACAGGTGGGCAGGGAGGTCAGAAAAGGCTGCTCTGACGCTTGCTGCTGCTGGTGTCGTGGGAGTCCACCGGAAGGTTCCGACGCTTGTTGCTGCTGGTGTCGTGGGATCCACTGGAAGGTTTGAAGCGGGAGGGCAGTCCGGGGTGATTTGTTTTTGTTTTTTCTTTTCATTGTGACTTGAGTGAAAGTTTACAGAGCAAATTCATTTTCCACTCAACAGTTCACACACATTTTGTTTCATGACATTGATTGCAATTCCAACAATGGAACAGCTCTCCTCCCACTTCCTCCCTGTGGTTACCTTTTCCCAGTGTCCTCTTTCCTATGCACTCCTGCCCTTTGAACTATTTTCCTGCATAAATGCTATTCTTCTGATCTCCCATGGTTGACTATTCTAAGGAGGACATCTCCTTGGTGTAGGTGTTCAGCTGATAGGCCTGTCTGTTGTTTGGCAGAAAGTTAAACCATGGGAGTGAGTTCAGTTCCAGGCCTGAAGGGTGACTAAGGGCAACAGTGTTGGGATTTCACCAGTCTCTATCAGACCAGTAAGCCTGGTCTTTTTTATGATCTTACGTTTTGTTCTACCTTTTGCTTCCATTCTAGCCTAGATTGGATCTCCAATCTTGATTCCTTTCCAATGGTGTAACTTGGTTTAAAAAAGATCTTTCTAGCCTCTGGGTTGAGGAAGAGTAGGGGCAAGAAGCATGGTCACAAGTAAGGAATGTTTAGATCAGAGACCAGCCCCGGACCGCACCTTCCCAACCCCAGCCAGGTTCCCAGGTTCACACTGCCACCCAAGATAGAAGATTTCATCTGTTCTCACACAATTTGAAACCAAGCACATCTGAGCTTTAGTTGTCTCATGTTATAATCTGGCCCCAAAGGCCCAGAGTCCAGAGCCAAGCAGACAGACAGGTTAGAACATGGGTTTGAAGGCCAGGTTATGTTTGGGGAAGGGAGGGAAGAGGGAGAAGGAGCAGCCTCCGAGGTTTGTAGAAGCTTTCTTCCCTGGGCAAGACCCAAGTCAACCTTCACCTTCGACACCTTGAACCCGGCAAGGTCAAGGGTGAGGACTCAGAGACTGCTCGCTGCGTGACTCACAGAAATGAAGCAGGAACCCCACCCCCACCCCACCCCACTAGGGAATGGGATCTGTGCAGATGTTACCAGTTGAGCTGATAAGAGTTCCTAGGAGTAGGGTGGGTCCTAACCAGTATGACTTTGTTGTTGTTGTTGCTGTTATGTGCCACTGAGTCAATCTGACTCATAGTGACCCCTCCTTGGGTTTCCGAGGCGGTATCACTACGAAGTAGATTGCCCAACCTTCCTTCCAAGGAGTGGCTGGTGGGTTTGAACCATCAGCCTTCTGGTGAGCAGTCAAGTGCCTTAGGCACTATGCCATCAGAGCTCCTGGTGTCCCCTTAA